CAGAGCTGGGAGGGGCTTCAGAACAGGGAATGTCAGAGCTGGGAGGGCCCTTAGAACACAAAATATCTGAAATGGAAAGGACTTTGGCCCAGAGGATGTGAGAAAAAAATGTTGACGTGAAAGCAACCTTAGAATACAAAAGATGAATTGTTAGAATACATTCATCTATATATGAATACATATATTCATAATATACAAATATATTAATACATATATTCATAATATACAAATATTAGAATATGAAAGATCTTAGATCCACAGAACATGAAGGCATTTTAGTGATGGAGATAGAGTTCTGGCCCTGAAGTCAAGGAGATCTGGGTTCAAATCCCACCACCAACACTCACTGACCATGACTGTGGACAAGTCATTTAATCTCCCTGAGCCTCAGTTTCTTCCTCAGAAAAGTGGTGCTAATAATACTTGTGGTACTTATCTTACTGGTGTCCTATGAGGTCAAAGATGATAAGGTAGAAGAAGTGCTTTGTAAATCTTAAAAGGCAATATCCGTGTCAGTTATTTTTATTACAACAGGAAGTCAGTGCCAGGAAGCACCAACGAACACAAAGGTCAGAGCTGGAATATCATCCGTTTTCATGGATGGGGAAACTGAGGCCCAGGGAGGCTGTGATTTGTCGAAGGCCCATGGAGCAGGTTAGCACCTGGCAGCTCTACAATCCAGCGCCTTTCGAGTTACAATCGTGTCTCTAGGTGGCCCTCCAGGGCAAAGGGGAAAACTGTGGAGAGACAGGGGAAGTGGGAGTGATGGGGCAGGGGCATCCTGAGCCCTGAGCTTTCCCTACACTTCTGAAACATTCTCTTCTCCTGCCCCTCAACCTGCACCCCATTGGAGAGGCTTGGGATGGGTTGGACCTGGGATTCCATCAGAGTGAGGGGATTTCCAGTGTGGAAACTTCCTCCACCTCTGCAGGTTGGCAGCTCCACCATAATTTACAGGTTTAGAGCTGCCTGGGGCACTGAGTGAACATCCCTCCCCCCCCCTTTAGGCAGGGGGATGGCAGGCAACACTGGAACCCGGGTCTTCCTGATTCCAAGGTCAGGCACTACACCACTACTCTTGGGAGAGACGGACATTTCGGCAGTGGGTCCTGCCCTTTCCTTTGGGGGTGACTGGGCTCCTGGCAGAATGTGCGTCCCAGAGTGGGGCATTTCTACTCTCTTGTGACCAGGAGCCCTTCCCCTCCCCTCAAGGAAGCCTCAGGAGGCCAACCTCTTGGCCCTTGAGAGAGAGCTGGGAGGCTCTTTAACACTGGCTTTACACGGTTACCTGACAGTTTTTTAACATAGCAACTCCCTAGTCCCTCATTCTCACCTGATGGAGAAACTGAGGCCCAGAGAGGAGCACTGGCCTCTCACTGAGCTGGCTGGGCTTCGAGAGGTGGGGAAGGGCTTCAGCTTTAGGGAAGGAGGTCAGTTTCAGGCCAGAGGCTCAAGGCCAAGCTCCCTCCCTCTGCTCTCCCCTCCAATTCTAGGTTTAGGGGAGTACCAGTGCCAGCTTGGGGCAGGAGCCAAGAAGTCGTTGTGCCCAGGCAGGCTCCCAGCCCAGCCCGTGGCTCTCCCAGGGCACACAGCTGCTCTTTGTCTCTGGGGCACTTATCTAGCCAGGGATCAGGGAGGGGGAAACCAAGAGCACTGGCTTCTGGGGCTGACTTCCCTGGAAACACCTGAGGCTTTCCCAGCAGCCTCCCTCCACCAGCCCACCCCTAGCTGGCCCAGCTTCGTTGTACCCCCCTGGACCGGCCCAAAGACGGAAGGAGACAGTCCTTCCTCAGAGCGCAGGTCCTTTGATTCAAATCCCTCTCCTACCAGGAGGTGGGGAGTTAATTCTGAGATTCTGGCTCATAGCCTATACCCTACCCTCTACACCCCCTTGGCCAACAGGGCACAAAGAGGGCAATTTTTTTTTTCATATGAATGTAGATGGTAGAAGTGGCTTAGAAAGACCTCTGAGATCTTCTTTAACTGTAAGGTTCTTGGACTGTGATTTATAGGTTCTGCCTAGCCTGGTGTCTGGTATACAGTAGGCACTTAATAAATGCTTGCTGCATTGAACCCTCAGACTCTGTGATTCTCTGGTTCAGTCCCAGCACAATGTCTGGCCCACAGCTGGCCCTTTAATAAATGCCTGATACACAGTAGATGCTTAATAAATGTTGAATTCTCAAGTTCTGTGATTCCCAGATTCTGCCAAGTCAACCAACATTTATTAAGCCCTTACTGTGTGTCACACATGGTTCTAAGCACTGGAGATATGAAGAAAGGCAAAAGATAAAATTAGTTCCCGATCCCAAGGAGTAGACAGTGTAATGGGAACATTTGGGTAAACAACTAAAGAGATACAAGATATATATGAAGTAGCTGGAAGGGCCCTTGAGGGCCAAAGGTATTAGTGCCACTGGAGGGGCTTACTAAATGCTTATTCAATTGAATTCCTAGGCTCTGGGCAGTTTCTTTACAGATTTCTCTCTCTCTCTCCCTCTCCCTCTCTTTCTCTCTGCCTCTCTCTCTGTCTCTGTCTCTCTTTGTCTCTGTCTCCCTCCCTCCCTCTCTCCTCTCCTCTCTGTCTCCCCCTCTCTTCTTTTCTTCTCTTCTCCTCCTCCTCCTCCTTCTTCTCTCTCTCTCTTTCCTGTCTCTGTCTCTCTGTCTCTCTATACACACACACACACACACACACACACACACACACATTTTGTGTGCTCCCTCCCCTTGGTTTTCTTCTCTTACTCCTCCCCCTGCTATTTGAGGGAGAGAGGAAGACAATAAAAAAAAAGTCTCAAAATGTCCTTGGCACTCTAGACTTGTCAGGCGCCTCTTTACCCATGACCTTATTGGATCCTGAGACACCCTTAAGAGAGTAAGGAGAGCACTTGGATCCTCTAAAGGGCCAGGAAAGGGGTGGGATGTGGGATACAGAAACAGAGACAGAGAGAGATCTGAGCCCCAGAAGCAAAGTGATACATGACCAAGTTAGTCCCACGTGCCTTGGCTCCCAGGGCTAGCTCTGTCCCTAAGCTAGCCGGTGCCCCCGGCTCCCAGGGCTAGCTCAGTCCCTAAGCTAGCCGGTGTCCCAGCTCCCAGGGCTCCCAGGGCTGGCTCTGTCCCTAAGTTAGCCGGTGCCCCCCTCCCAGGGCTAGCTCAGTCCCTAAGTTAGACAGTGCCCCCAGCTCCCAGGGCTCCCAGGGCTAGCTCAGTCCCTAAGCTAGCCGGTGTCCCAGCTCCCAGGGCTCCCAGGGCTAGCTCAGTCCCTAAGTTAGCTGGTGCCCCAGGCTCCCAGGGCTAGCTCAGTCCCTAAGCTAGCTGGTGCCCAGAGCTCCCAGGGCTAGCTCAGTCCCTAAGCTAGCTGGTGCCCCCCTCCCAGGGCTAGCTCAGACCCTAAGCTAGCCGGTGTCCCAGCTCCCAGGGCTCCCAGGGCTAGCTCAGTCCCTAAGCTAGCCGGTGTCCCAGCTCCCAGGGCTCCCAGGGCTAGCTCAGTCCCTAAGCTAGCCGGTGGCCCAGCTCCTAGGGCTCCCAGGGCTGGCTCTGTCCCTAAGTTAGCCGGTGTCCCAGCTCCCAGGGCTCCCAGGGCTAGCTCAATCCCTAAGCTAGCTGGTGCCCAGAGCTCCCAGGGCTAGCTCAATCCCTAAGCTAGCCGATGCCCCCCTCCCAGACCTAGCTCAGTCCCTAAGTTAGCCGGTGCCCCAGCTCCCAGGGCTCCCAGGGCTAGCTCAATCCCTAAACTAGCCGGTGCCCAGAGCTCCCAGGGCTAGCTCAATCCCTAAGCTAGCCCATGCCCCAGCTCCCGGGGCTCCCAGGGCTCCCAGTGCTCCCGGGGTTAGCTCAGTCCCTAAGCGTCACCCTGCCAGGGCTTGCTGGCACCTGCCTCCGGAGGGAGGGAAGCCTCTCCCTCCTTCTGTCTCACCAGCTGGACTTTCTCTCTTCTTCCTTTCCTCTCTCCTCCCTCCCTCCACCTTCAAACCAGTCTTGCTTTTGGAATCACAGCCTTAGGGGTCGTCTGGTCTAACCCCCTACCGCCTTTGTAAAACGGGGAAACCGAGGCCCGGAGAAGGGAGTGACTTCTCCGCGGATGTACAACCAGTAGAGCGAGATCATAGAGCCGGAGAAGGGTGCCAGATTAGGAGTCAAAGGATAGTGCTGTCATACTAGCAGGGTGATCTTGGGCGAGTCACTGAATTTTTCCGGGGCCTCAGTTTCCCATCTGATGGGACCTTCCAGCTCTAAAACCAATCATTTCAAGGTGAAGAGTCAGGATTTGAACCCAGTGCTCCTGACTCCAACCCTAGGGCTCTTTCTATGACCCCAACCCTAGGGCTCTTTCTATGACCCCAACCCTAGGGCTCTTTCTATGACCCCGACACGAAACTTCTAGTAGCCCTCCCCTCCATTCCAAGCTCCTGCCTTAGGGAGCCCTCCTAAGAGAGGCGGCAGTTTCCCGGGGGTCCAGTGTGGACTTGGTGGGGCTCAGGACCCCCCCAAAGACCGCGAAGAAGGGGGGTCTCGGAGGACTCCGAGCTTCCCTGGGCTGGGAGTGCTCAGTGGCGGTGGATTATCCGCGCCCACGGGAGGGCAGTGCCCTCCTGGGGCTGCTGCTGCCGGGGCTGCTCGGACCCAGGACGGGCAGGAGCCGGCCGGCCGGTGTCAGAGCCTGGACTGGGGGCAGGACGCCTGGGTCCTCCAGGCCCCGTGCCTCAGTTTCCCCCAATGACACATCTTCCCTCCAATGGGGAAAGGAAAAGAACCCCAGAGGATACCGAGGGAAAACCTTGCCAGAAGCTCGGCCGCTTCCAGCCCAACTCTGCTCCCCGCCGAATACCTCGGGCCAGGTCTGCCTGCTGCCGAGCAGAGTAGCCCTTTAAATCCAGTCCTTCCACTCGACCCTCTCGGCGTTCGATTGGCTTAGTCCACCTGTCGAAAGGGACGAGCTTCCTCCTCCCTTCTCTGGAAGCAACTGCACGGGCTGCCGCCCAAGCCCTACGGATCCACGCAGGCGCAGAGCCAACTCTGCCAAAAGGCGGTAGAGCATGGCCTGGCAGGATCCTGGTTGGACGGCCCTCTGGAGCATCGGGACCAATGAAATGGCGGGGTTGAGAGGGAGGGCCCGGGCAGGCCGTTGCCAAGGACGACCTTAAGGGGCGGGAACTTGGCCGGGCGGAAATAAGACGGGATCAGGGTCGGAAGCAGGAAGTAGACTGCGGGGTGTAGGACGCGGCGGCTGCTGGTCCCTGCTGCTGGTCCCTGCTCCCAGTCCCGGTCTCACTGCAGTCCCGAGGCGCGATGGAGAAGCTGCGGCTCCTGGGCCTGCGCTACCAGGAGTACGTGGCCCGCCACCCGGCCGCCACGGCCCAGCTGGAGACGGCGGTGCGGGGCCTCAGTTACCTGCTGGCAGGTACCGCTCTGACCTCTGACCCCGGAGTGGGGTATGTGGCTGAGGGACAGAGTCAGAGACGCCCAAGACTGACAGACAGACCCCCGAGAGATGGAGACCCCCCCCGACTGAGAGACCCTGTGATGAGAGACAGACACTCCTCACACTGAGAGACAGAGATCCCCAGAGACTGGCGGAGACCCCCCCAAGACTAGAGACAAAGATATCCCCAAGATTGAGAGACAAGAAACCTCCCAGAGACTGAGACGAGAATCCCCCCGGCCTGAGAGACGCCGCCCCCCAGACTGAGAAAGATACCTCTCAGGCCGAGAGACAGAGACCCCTCCCAGAGACTGAGAGATAGACCCCTGAGACAAAGACCGAGACCTCTGAGATTAAGAGATAGAGACCCCCAAGACTGAGAGACAGGCAGACCCCCAAGAGATGGAGACCCCCCCCCACTGAGCGATAGAACTTTTAGACCAAAAGACACACCCCTCAGGCTGAGAGATCCCCAGAGGCTGACAAAGACCCCCAAGACTAGAGACAAAGATGCTCCCTAAGACTGAGAGACAAGAGACACCCCTCAGGTTGAGACAGACCCTTTGAAACTGAGACCCCTGAGCTTTAGAGATAGATACTCCCAAGACTGAGAGACGGACAGACCTTCCCAAGAGACTGACAGACTCTCCCAGACTGAGACAGACCCCCAAGATACTCGTATTCAGATACTCCCAGAGATTGAGAAACAGAGACCCCCTAAGAGTGAGAGACAGAGACTCTCAAGAGATTCGTGAATTCGGAAAAACTCCCTCTCTGCACACGTGACTCTCAGCCCCTCCATTGACACGCTACAGGGGTGACCTTGGACAAGCCCTTCATGTGTGGGCCTTGTTCTCCTCTGTAAAATGAGAGCCTTTGTGGTCTGACCCCCGCGGTGGGTGAGGGAGCTCTCCTCTCACCCCCTTCCCTTCTCTCTTTCTTTCCCAGGGCGATTCGCTGATTCCCACGAGCTGTCAGAACTGGGTGTGTATGCCGGTGTAGACCCGGGGTGGGGGGTTTGCCTGGAAGAGGGAGGTGTTTGTGGGCTGGGGTTGTCAGACCTGGATTCAAAAGTTCTGGGCTCCCCCCTCCCCCTGTCAGTTTGCCCTGTGGGGAGACAAGAGGTGGAGGAACAGGTTGGTTTCCCCACATCTGGTGCTGAGCAGGTGCGTGTTGGTGCTCGCGACTCTGGGCTGAAGGTGAGGAGAGGGTTTCCTCACTGGCCGCCTTTGGCACTTCCCAGTGTACTCTGCCTCCAACCTGCTGGTGCTCCTGAATGACGGCATCCTGCGGAAGGAGCTCCGGCAGAGCCTGCCCGGGGTAAGGGGCCGGGGCGGGGGGGGGGGGCCCTTGCCGGCAGGGGGAGGACACGCGCAGCCTCCAGGCCCCTCTGATGCCCCTCTCATCCTTGCAGTCACTGTCCCAGCAGAAGTTGCTGACGTGGCTGAGTGTGCTCGAGTGCGTGGAAGTGTTCATGGAGATGGGGGCTGCCAAGGTGTGGGGGGAGATGGGCCGTTGGCTTGTCATCGTCCTCATCCAGTTGGCTAAGTACGTTGGAGGATGGGGGGGTAGGGAGGGATGGCCCAGGGTGCTCCTGGGTTCACGGTGAGCCCTGCCAGGGTAGGTCCTCTGTCCGCTCTGTGCTGTTCTCTTCTCTGAGGCGCCCGCCACTCCCCACCACGGCTTCTGTCCCCACAGGGCTGTGCTGCGTGTCCTGCTGCTGCTCTGGTACAAGGCTGGCCTCCAGACCTCACCCCCCATCGTGCCACTCGATCGGGAAATGCAGCTTCACCCCCAAGGTGAGCCTCCACTTTCTCCCTGCCCTGTTCCCCCACGCGTGCAACCTTGGGCCAGTCACCTGACTCTCCTGGGCCCCATGAGGAGGTGGGACACGAAGGGCCCTTAGAGTGTTGAGGGCCAAGGGGCTGTCTGTCGTCATGGACTCTGTGGTATGTCAGAATCCAAGTTCAAGTCCTGGCTCTAACACTTGCCAGCCAGGTGATTTGGGGCAGATCAGTTTCTTTCTCTCTAAGATGAGGATCGTCCTTGGAGCCACCTTTAAAAGGTGGCTGTACTGCGTCCCAATAGCCGTGGCACACAAAGTGAAGCTTTGGGTTCTGATCAGCAGCAAGCCCCCAGATGTGGGATATCTGGCTTCTGGGCCTTGCTCTGCCACAACTCTCCCACCCCTCCTGACCTCCAGTTCTGGCTTCTCCTCTGTAGTCATGTTGTTGGAACTTTGAACCCGAAAGCTTTAGGGTTGTATAACACTCTTACTAATGGCTGTGGAGAGCTTTCCTTTCCAAAGTATTCTCTTTATCCTTTTGGTTGGGGGTTAAGTGACTTGTCCAGGGTCACACAGCTAGTAAGTGTTATGTGTCTGAGGCTGGATTTGAACTCAGGTCCTTCTGAATCCAGAGCTGGTGCTCTCTCCACTGTACCATCTAGCCACCCCCAAGTATTATCCTTATCTTTCCTTCTTTGCTCCTACAAGGCTCCTAAGAGGTATGTAGCAGCAGAAGTTTAATAATGATAATAATAATAATGATGATAGCTAATGTTTATAGAGCGCTTCTTGTGTGCCAGGAGCTGCTCTAAGCTCTTTATAGTTCGTTTCTAATTTAGTCTTCACAACAACCCTGGGAGAAAGTTGCTATTATTATTCCCATTTTACAGTTGAGGAAACTGAGGCAAAGAGGTGACGGGACTTGCCTGGGTCACTAGGAAGTGTCTGGGGTCGCACTTGAACTCGGGTCTTCCTGACTCCCGAGCCATGCCCTATCCCCTTTGACACTCATGCTGCCTGTTGGTGGAAGCCCAAGGTTGTATGTGGTGGACAGAATTTACAGGGCCAGTGGGTCACTGCTACCCCTTTCCCAACCCTTAGCAAAAGAAAATGGTTTTCCTGGCAGAGAGCTAGATGGCTACCCTTCCAGGCAGTGCAGGCACTGGCATGAAAATGGCACCTAACGGAGCCAACGACCTAGCTTGGAGCCCAAGCGTTGACACTAGTCAGACAGCTGACCCTCTGGGCGAGAAACCAGAAGCAAAGGCTGAACCAGGCAGCTCCTCCCTTGCTGTGGCTGCCCATGTGGAGCAGCAGCCTTGGCCCTTCAGGGGCCTTCCACCTCCATCAGGATGCAGGGGCCCCTGGAAACAAAATCCCAGCTCTCTTTCCATTGTCTTCCCTGGGTGTCAGCAGAATGAAAGGCGGGCTGCATCCTCACCCTCGTCTTCTATTATCTGCCCTTGCTTCCCTCTTCTGCACGTTTCTTGAGCCCCAACTCACGTCTCGGTTGGTGACTTCCCTGCTCCCCATCAGCTTCTTGAGACATCTCCCATCTTTTTTCTTGTTCCTTGGAAGGGTTTCCTTGTGTCTTGGGAAGCTGGTGCTGGAGAGGGTTTCCTCTCTCCTGGGCTGATTTTAATCGCCAGGATCTGGCCTGTGGAGGCGTGCTTCCCCCACACTGAGGCTGCCCAGCGGGCACTGCCAACTGTGTGCCTCTGATGGGGGTCTTTTAGCTCCTCCCCAGCAGACTGAGTTAATGGAGTCAACTCTGGTATCCAGTGGACACTCTCCCTTCACCTTTCAGTTGCCCATGGTGCCCTTGTGGACAGTTGGGGCTAGTCCTCGGACAGGGGCAGAGCATGTGTTTTCTGTTGATCTTCACACATTAGCCAGGGGCCTACTGGGTTCCAGGCCTGCTCTGTGCTAAGTGCTGGGGATACCAAGAAAGACTAAAGCAGTCTGCCCTGAAGGAGCTTACTATCCAAAGAGGGGGACAACATGGACATAACTAGGTATAGACCAGATCTGTACAGAGTGGATGGAAGGGAACCTGAGAGCAGAAGATGACTGTCCACCGGGCTGGGGCTGGAAGGAGCCAGAGTGAGCAGGGAGGAGCCCGCCCCCAGCTGTAGGGGGGCACACAGCGAGTACACGGGCACAGAGGGAAGGGGTCAGGAGTGCCATGGGAGGGCTAGTGTGGATCCTAGAGCAGAGAAGAGAGCCCAGCTGAAATAGGCTGAAGACTTGGGAAGGGACCAAGCTAGGAAAGGCTCGAAACACTAAAGAGAGGGTTTTATCATTGATTCTGGAGGTAACAAGGAGTTGCTGGAGTATGGGGCTGGTGTGGTCTTGCTAAAGACTTGCTGGTGGTGATACCGTGTGACTTCTCCCTCCAGGACACCAACCACCCTGCTTCCTTGGCCTCTTTCCCTCTCCAGGTGGTGAGCACAGTGTGGGCAGCCAGGACCGGCCATATGTGGGAAAGCGGTCCAGCCGGGTGGTGCGATCCCTGCAGAGCAGTAAGCGGGGAAGGGGCAGGGGGGAGGGACACGTGGTCACTTGGGCTTTAGTTCCACGGCACCCCGCCACTGCCACCACCTGCCCCCAGATGCCCACTTCTCCCTATCCCACCTGGAAGCCCTCCCTTCTTATGGGTGTGACTCTGTTCCAGCACCATCCTTGCACTCAAGGCACTGGGGAGCCCCCCAGCAGCAGGACGGGCGGACACACCACCGAGGGGAGGAGCTGGAAGCTGGCCCCACCCCCTTGGGGCTACAGGAGACCATTGCTGAGTCAGTGTACATAGCCCGACCCTTGCTGCACTGTATCTGCCGGAAGCCAGGCTGTGGTCGGGGGAGGAGAGGCTGAGGATGGAGGGGGGCTGAGGGCTGGTGCCACACTGTTCAAGAGGACCTTGACCCTTTCACTGTCAGTACTGAGTTTGGGCCTGTGGGGTCAGCGGTCATGGAAGCCTTGGCTGCTCTCTGCTATCTTGGACGTGACTAGGTGAGTGTGTGTGTCTGGGGTGGCAGCTTCTACAGTGGTGGCACACTGGGTAGAAATCAGGAGGACCTGAACTCAAATCCAGCCTCAGATACTTCCTCTGTCACCCTTGGCAAGTCATTTCACTTCTCTTTGCCTCAGTTTCCTCATCTACAAAATGGGGATAATGACAGCACTTGCTTCCCAGAGTTCTTGAGGGGATGAAAGGAGATGATCATTGTAAAGTGCTTAGCACAGTGGCTGGCACATAGTAGGTACTATACAGATGCTTGTTCCTTTCCCCTCTTCTCACTGTGAATGTTGGTGTTATTTTGACCTCAGGAGCTGCACCTGTCCAAGGACCTTTTCTGCCACACACTCCAGGAGTGGCCACATAGCCTTTTTCTCAAGGCTTTTAGTGAGCTGGAGGCAGCCTGCACTGTCGGGGTATCTCTAGCAGTTAGGAAGGTTTTCCTTCCTTCAAGCCTAAATCTGCCTCTTTGCAGCTTCTTCCCATTGATTTTTGGCTTAGCCCTTGAGGCCAGGCTGAACAGACCTCGTCTCCCCCTTGACAGCCCCCAGACCCGTCTGCAGGATTCAGTGTGGGCAGGGAGGGCAGACCCCTGTGAGGTCAAGGCTCTGGGGGAGTGGGTCACTGTGGCCAGACAGCTGAGGGGGGAGCGCCGCTCTTGTCAAGGGGCATCAGTGCGGGAAGTGGCGCAGCTAAGGGCACAAAAGGGGCATCAAAGTGGGCAGCACAGGACTGAGATAAAAGGACGTGGTGCTGACCACGTGGCCTTTAAGGTTCCTCTGAGCTCTGAATCTATGAACAGGAGTCATAGAATCTGGGTTCTAGTCCAAGCACTTAGATGACCATGTATAAGTCCTTTAACCTCTCCTGAGCCTCAGTTTCCTCATCCACAAAATGGCGTTAATAATGCATGCATTAATTATCTCAGGGCTGCTCTGTGTCCCTGGGGCTGTGTTTTATAAACCCTTGGAGAGCTCTAGATGGTCCTGCCCTGGCTGCCTCTTCCTTCCCTCTCAGGACACTGATGGGGGGGGGGGACTCAGAAGAGGGGTGAAGAGCTCGAGTGATGATTCCCCTTCTCCCCCCAGTCTTCATTCATGTCAGCAAATGCTTATTGAATGCCTACTCTGAACTGGGCTTTGGGCTAGTACTAGGAACACGGGAAAAACAAAGTCCCTGCCTGTAATAGAATGGGGAAAGGTCTATGTAGGAGAGAGGGTGCAGAGGCAAATCCAGTGAGAGAGAGAATGTTTGGAGACAAAGACATTCGGACAGAAGTCGGCGGGGGCAGGGCACAGATTCAGCAAGGGCTGTATAAATACCTCTGTGTGCCAGGCACATATAATGTCAAAAACGTATAGAGTATAGAGATGGAGATGACAGTAGCTCGTGTCTTCAGGGAGCTTCCAGCCTAGTAGGGCATCAGCACGAGCTTCACGGAGGAGGCAGCTCCTGAGATGAGCCAGTAGTTGGCAAGCTCTGAGAGAGGAGGGCTTGGTTCATTTTTGGTGTGTACTTAGCACCATGGCAGCACACAGTAGGAGCTTGTTTACTGATTGAAGGAAGAGAAGGTTTTGACCGATGGAGATAAGCAAAAGATGTGCACTCACATGGGGGATAGCCTCTTTGAGTGCATGGATTCCCAGCTGTGAGTATTTCAGGCCTGACCCCGCTCCCTGCTTCCTTCCATCCACAGCCTAAGTCTGCTGAGTGACAAAAAAGGGCTGACTCGGCGGGAGCGCCTGGAGCTCCGGCGACGGACCGCCCTGCTGCTTTACTACCTGCTGCGCTCCCCCTTCTATGACCGCTTCTCAGAGTAAGGGATTCCTGGGGGGGCTGGCAAGGCCCTGGGGCAGGTCAGGGTGGGGCCTGGGTGATCTGAGGGACCGGTGTGCACCCACAGAGAACTGATCCACCAGCCTCGATTTGTGAAGGATTGATGTCCAGGAGGTGGAAGCCAGTGCAGGTGACCCAGGAGGACCGTGGGGGCAGGGGCAGGACGAGCTGAGGCAGCCAAGGGGTGGAAGGGGGAGGATCACTGCTCAGCACGTGCAGGTCGATGCCCAGCAGGAGCAGAGTCAGAGCTGCTCAGGTCTCCTTTCACTTGCTTTCTCTGTCCAGGAAAATGACCTTTGGGTTGGAAAGGACAGGAGAAAAGAGGCTAAGTAGGAAGCTGATACTAAATAACAGTAAGGAAGTAAAAAAAGAGCCTCCCGCCTCCCTGGGGGAATTCACATCACCGCTCAGATGAACCACATCCTTTCCAGGCCGGAGAGAGCTCCGGTTGTGGCAGCTGAGCCCTGGGCTGTGATCCTTGAACAATCACATAGAACATAGAATGAACGGTCCAGGTGCTGCAGGCTTGGGGATGGACAGCCCTTATTTAAAATGAAGAGAAGTGAGTCTGTCAGCTGGAGGCCGGTGAGCTGGATGTGACTTCCTGGCACACTTCTAGAACCTTTTAAAGAGCCTGGGAGAGACGAATGGATCTGGAGAACGCCATCGACCAACCTCTAATTCGGGAGGGCTAGGCTCTTCCTGCTCTTGTACAGACACTGAGAGCTGGACTCAGAGATGGGTGTCTCTGTGGCTCAATGTCAGTTTTTATCAGTGGCACACATGTAAAGGCTCAGGTGGCACGGTGGCTGAACCTGCCGATGGCTCGGAGTCAGGAGCGCCAGGAGCTCAGGCAGCGGTAGGCCATATGCCAGATCTGAAAGTATCTCTGTAGGCCTGGACATTCAGAAAGCATGAAGGCCGAGTCTCACAGAGACAGAATGGCCTGGCGGATAGTTTGTCTGAAAAAGCTCTTGGGGCCTTAGTGGACCGCAGCCTCAGCATGGTCCACAGGCATCCCACACAGTTCCTATAATGGCAGGCAGCACCCAGAGAGAGCTCACCTCCAAGCATAAGGAGGTGACAGATCACACTGGGAGAGTTGATCAGTTCTTGGCCTCACAGTTTGAAGATGAGGGCCCAGAGGACAGCAGCCAACCTGGTGGAGGACTATGGGTCCCTGACCAGTTTGGACCAGTTGAAGAGAAGACAGACCTCGGGGCAACCTGCTCGCTGTCCTAGCGTATCTGAAGGGCTGTCACATGGAGGAGGAATTAGACTAGTTCTGCTTGGTCCAGAGGGGAGAACTAGGAGCAGTGAGTAGAAAGGGCTCAGGGGAAGGAACCCAGTGAGAGCCATCCGGCATGGGCTGAGGTGCTGGGCTCCCCTTCTTAGGAGAGGATGGACAGCCTCTTAGTGGGCTGTGTTGCAGTGGTGATGTTGGTCGAGATGACCCCTGAGGTCCCTTCCAGCTCTGAAAGTCTGCGGTTCCTTCCTTTCCCTCCTTTCTTCAGTGGCTAATGCAGGCAGTGTGGATCCAGCTCAGGGCCTGGTTCTGTGGAGGACGCTGTTGAAGGAACTTTGGCGACTTTGGCAGTGTGCCTCGATGTCTCCTGGATGGAGTTCACGGCCCTGCTGGGACATTCACTATCTGGGTGTAGATAGCACAGTGCTTCCCCACCCCCATTTTTATTGCTGTTACTCTGAGTCTCAGTTTCCTCACCGGCAAACTGAGCGTGCTAATAGTTGTCATGCTCCCTACATCACAGGGTTCTCATCTCAAGTTCCGTGTAAGTGTTACTGTGGTCAGTCATTGTTCACACTCCAGTGGGCACCACAGCCTAGCCCTGCTGAGCCAGAAGGCTTTAGCCCAGGCCCGAGGAAGCACCAGCTCTCCCTGATGCTCTTGGGGCTGACCGACCCATGGCGGGAGGCGCTGTCCCCCCACCGGCTTCGGTTTCTCCCCCCAGCGACCTCGTCTGTGCTTCATAGATGTATGCGTCTGGGTGGGTGTGCTGCGTGCCCAGCGCCTGAGCTTTTGGAGGTCCGTGGCTGTTTTATCTGGACATGTGCATCCCCACCACCTAGCACAGTACTCGGCACATAGAAGGTGCTTAATAAATACTTGTTGATTGATTGATTACAGATTTAAAAATGAAATAGTTCCTTCTCTTTAGGACCTTTCAATGTACATAGTTAAATAAATACAAAATAGCTGCCAAGTGATTGGCCGGGTTAGGTGGAGAGCACTAATAGTGCGAGGGAGTCAGGAAGAGCCTAGGCTCGGAGGCAGCACTGTGGCTGAGCCTCAAACGGAGCTAGAAGTTCTAACGGTGGAAATGAGGAGGGGGCATTTCAGGCAGGAGGGACCACCTGTGCAACGGGGTGGGGACAGGAGATAGAACAAGTCAAAGGAATAGCAAGCGGGCCAGTTTGGCTGGAGGGAGAGGAATGGGGAAATAAGTTTGGAACGAGTCACCAGAACCAGGCTGTGAAAGATTTTAATGCCAGAGGGGAGAGTTTAAATTGTATCCTAGACGCAAGAGGGAGCCACTCAGCGGCAGCGGCAGCAGCGAAGCAGTCAGACATTGGCAGCTGAGTGGAGGATGCATTGGAGAGGGGAACAGAGACCAACCGGGAGGCTTTTGCAAGGGTTCAGGTGGGAGGTGAGGAAGGCCTGAACCAGAGTGCAGAGAAGGGGATGGTCACAAGAGGCACTGGGAAGGTTGAAGTGAGAAGCTTCTGATGGCAGGTGGGGGCAAAGGAGAGGGAAGAGTCAGGAATGACTCGGAGATTTAAGACCTGCGTAACTTGACAGCAGCAGGGAATCTAGGCAGAGTGGTAGGTGTTGGGGGAGAGGTAATGAGCTCCGTTTTGTGCCCATTGAGTTTGAGATGCTGTTGAGCAGAGATGAGGGTCTGGAGCTCAGGAGAGAGACTCAGGGGGATTGGGTAGCTCTGGGTGTGTTCTGCACAGAGATGATAATTGAACCCCTGGGAGCTGATGAGATCACCAAGCGAGAGCGTGGAAAGAGAAGAGGGTGCAGGACTGATCCCAGGCCAGTGCTCATGCATAGAGATGTGAGCCGTTTGGGAAGGCCCACCAAAGGAGAATGAGAAAGAGGTCGGATCGGTGGGAGAACTTGGAGCCAGAAAGAACTTTCAGAGTCCTTAGTCTCTCATTTCACAGAGCTCAGATCCCATAACTTCAAATCCAGCACTCATTCCAGTGGACCACACCACTGCCCGTAGGTTTGTCAGGAAGGATGAAGACTGAGAAGAGTTCTTAGGCTTTAGCAATTAAGACGTCATTGGAAACTTTGGAAAGAGCAGTTTGGGCTGAGCTGTTGTGTGTCCTTTGTTCTCGAAGAGGACCGTGAGTTCAGGGAGATGATGCCATGACTTGCAAGTGAATTGGATTTAAGTGAGGAAGGGCTGTGCAAAGTCACCAGCCTCGCTTTCTCCTCCAGAGCCGTCTGGAGGCCGTCCAGTGGTCGGATATGGATCAGGACAACTGAAGGTGATGCCAGGCTGAGCAGTGCTGTCAGAACCTAGACTCCAAGGGGTTAAGGAGTGTGTAGGAGGTAAGGAAGTGGAGGTGATGAGCATAGATGACTTTCCCTAGTTTGGCAGCGAAGGGTAGGAGAGAGAATAGAGCACAAATTGATGGCCGGATCAAATGAAAGTTTTGCGGAGATAAAGGAGCTTTGGGCATATTAGAAGGCAGCAGGGAAGAAGCTGAGAGATGACGATCAAAGATTTGTCGGTAGGGAAACGATGGAAGGGACAGACTCCCGTCAGAGGTGGCAGGGGAGGGGATCACTGGGCCTTCTGTCCAAGGAGTGGCCTTGCTAAATTGGGAGGGTCTTGCCACTCGATTGACCACAGAATGTTGAATTTTTTGGCCACTGCTGCAATGCTCGAAGACCATCTGCTGGTTCATCACGGGGGTGCCATCTGCATCAGTGGAGGTTGTGCCCACACCAAAAATATCCTTGACTCTTTCAAATACTAGAATGGACCATGATGAACAATGCTTCGGAGGGTAGTCATTATTACTGTTATTAGGTGGGCGCTGCCCAGAAAGCATCTGATCAGAATTAATAGGCAAGTGTTCGCCAAGGCAGAAGAGGAACCCGGCAAGCTGAGCGATGGAGTGAAGGCCGTGGATAAAGTGGACAGTGTCTGGAGAAAGGCAGCCAGAGTGGGGAGGGCCCAGTGGGGGTCCGTTAAGGAACCGGAGACAGGGAACATAAAGAGGACAGGATCCTGGGGGATCTAGAGGAAGGGCTGTCACTGTCCTGCTTGGCTCCAGAGGGTCCCCCCGAGAGCCGCTGGGTGGAAGTAACAGAGTCAAATGAAAGCGGATTTCAGGGAGAGCTGCCTGACGATTAGAGTTGTCCCACAGTGGAGTCGGCTGCCTCTGAAACTGCTGGGTTCACCCTCGTCGAGGCCTTGAGGCAGAGTTGTTTGTTACCGTTAGGGTGGTTGTGGGGTCGGGGCTGGAACTCGGGGCTGGCGGAGGTCCTGTCCGGCTCTGAAAGTCTGTGATTCCGAGTGTTTCTCTAGCTCATTGGCTGCAGTGGCCATAGTCAGTCAACAAGCATTTCTTAAGCACCTCCTGTGTGTTGAGCACTGTGCTATGACGGGTAAGAAGAGGGGTGGAGACCCTCAGTCTGGCCCGTGTCACAAGAACAGTCAGAGCAGGGCTCTAAGACGGCTCGTGGGGTCATGGGGTCAGGGGCGGAGGTCACACAGTGACTGGTCTCCATTAGGATTGGCCGCATGAGCTAGCCTTTGGGGTTCCTTCCCTCTGGCTCCCCACGCCCAGCGCTGCGTGCTTGGAGATGAAGCTCCCACGATACGGTGAGGAACGCGGTCAGTTTTACTCTCAGCTCTCCCACTCGCTGACCTCCGGCTGCTCTCTCAGCCTCTTCCACATCTGTCCTGTGACGGCAGTTCTTGTGGGGTGGGCTCAGGTGCTTGAGATGGCATCCCTGTGGGGGTGCTTCCCACCTGGGGGCCGAAGTGCTCCGGTCCTCTTGTGTCTTGTGTAGCTGGCGTCAGAGAGTCCTACGTCACGGGAGAATCCGGAATCCCATGTTCCCCTCACGGGGCAAGAGGTGGGGGAGACCCTGGAGCTATGGGGGTGTGGGGAGAGGCATGGGAGCCACAGCAGAGCGAGAGCAGGAGTAGGCGGGGGGACGGGGAAAGCTGCTGTCTCGTCTCGCGAGTCTCAGAGTCCAACTCTGCCAAACACGCAGTCCAGATTTAGCAATGCAACCCACTAGGCATTATCAGTAGCCCATTGTGCGTGGGACAGAGACAGAATGAAAATCAGTGCCCGCCTTCAAAGAGCTTCTATTCTACTGGGGAGATGCTGTGTGAAAACACAGAACTATAGCTATCGGTATATAGAAATATGTACCCAGAATATAAGTACATAAATACAAATACAGATATACACACGAAAACAGAGGGAACAAGTAAAGAACGAACAAATGAATGAATGGATGAATGTGAGGTGATTTGAGGCAGAAGCACCAGCAACCAAGGGGAGTCATCAGGGAAGGCTTCCTGTAGGAAGGACACAAAGGTTTCTAAGAAGTACCGAAGGGGTCCCCGATCCGTGCAGAAGACTGCTTGTTAGCTTAGTTTTCAAATGTCACATTATCCATTATATTGTATTTTTGTGACTTGTTAAGTAGTTCCCCGTCGCAGTTTAATCTGGTTTCTCTTGTCTGTGCAAAGACACAGATAGGGAAGATGGCGTGCCAAATTAGGGAACAGCAGAGACGTCTGCCAGTTTAGCGAGCAGGCTTTCCTCCATCCTTTGCTTTGGCTTTTCATCCCTTTGAAGAAGGGAGCGCTGGGGGCTCCCTTGCTAACATACGTGAAAGGCAAAGCTGACAGCTAATGGCTGGGCAGCTGAGTGGAGCTCAGAGTTAGCGATGAAGCCGGAGCCAGGGTCACAGTCTCTCTGTCCCTTGCCATCCCTCCCTCCCCAGCCCCCGGCAGAGTCTCTCCACTTGCCCTCAGCAGGTTCTGGTCTGTTCTGTTCCCCAGAGTCACTTTGTACCTTCAGAGGTAGGGGCCTCCTTGACTCAAGCATTTCTTCCCTAGCCCCATGCAGCCTGTTTCCTCTCTTTCTTTCCGTCCAGGGACAGAATCCTCTTCCTGCTGCGGCTGCTGGCTGATTACATTCCTGGTGTTGGTTTGATTACCCGTAAGTGTTGGGACAAGGGGTGAGAGCAAAGCAGCTGCTGTGGATCCAGCCTGATGGCTCCCAGCAGCTGGGTGCTTCTGCTGGGCTCAGGGGTGCTGACGAGCTAGAGCTGAGAGGAGGCGGTCCTTGAGTCTGGACCTGCTAAAGGCCCACAGGTGGCTGTTGAGAGACCAGGAGTAGGTGGGCCCTGGCGGCTGGAGAGTAGGCATGGTCACAGACTGGGTCCAGGGGTAGAGATGGAATGATGGAAGTTGGAGGGGTGGCCGTGGAGGGCAGGGGAAGGGCCTTTGATCCCCCCTCATTCTTTCCTTCTCTCTTTTCAGGGCCACTGATGGACTACTTGCCTGCTTGGCAGAAAATTTATTTCTACAATTGGGGCTGACAGGCGATCCAGGGCTGAGGAAGAGGACTGCTGAGAGGGTGGGGGATGCGGGGGGCATGATCTGCTGCAGGATCAGGCAGCACATCCCTTCAGCCCCTCAGCTCCTCTGTCCTCTAATAAAACTGGCCCCTAGTGATGCTCCTAAGTGTGTCCCCTCTGTGCCCCCACAGCGAGGGGAGCCCAGCCGGCCCTTGGGAGCTGGAGCCGCCTCAAAATGAACGACCACCTGTTCTACACAGCACAAGCCCTGGGCCCGAGCAGTCACTGCTGCAGACTGGGCCTGCCCTGTACTACGGTGCCACCTCTTTTCATGAAGCTCTATCATGTGCAATCAGCTTTGTTAAAAAGCAAGAAACTTCTAATCCCTGGAAAGTAGGACTGGCCACCTTCCAGCCTCAGGACCACCTACCTTTGGTCAGGGCTTCCTGTCGAAGGTAAATAGGGAGGACCTTGACAGAGCTGGGATATGGTCAGAAAGAGTCCTTCAGACTCCAGGGTCTCCCCCATCCAAGTCTTTAATCTTTCCTCCCCTCCTCCCCAACTCAAAAGTAAGAAAAGGCTTCACTTTCCCAATGAACACTCTTGACTGCTAATTGTTATCAGTGGCTTGTATGGACGTGTAGTTGGGATGCTTACCTCATTTGCAGATGACCAGACTGGGAAGAGTAGCTAACCTGTTTGCTAATCAGCATCTCAGATATCTCAAGAGTTTAGAGTTTCTAAGATGGCATTTAATGAGGTTAAATATAAAGCCTGGCACTTGGATTCTTTGACTCCATGGCACAGATAGGCATATCTAGACAGCAGCTCACTTCAAAGATCGCTTATTAAGCTTGTGGGAATGACACCTTAGAAGCCGTAGAAGCCAGCGCCTTCATTTTACGGATGAGAAAACTTACTGGGAGATCCAGGGATAGAACAGAAGCTTCCATTCTCCTCGGGGAGTCCTCCAGCTGAGCCAACAGCCAGAGGATGCCTGGGTCAAGTGCAGAGAGATGGGAGGCAGAGGGTCTTTGCCTGGGACACAGTTTGTGAAAGAGAGGGATCAGAAATGAGGTTGGGAAGGCAGGCCTTCCAAGCTCCAGCTTAGGTCTCCTATTGACACTGGGCCGGGGGGACGGAGGGACAGAAGGGTTTTGAACAGAGAGATGACATGACCACACCTCTCTCTGCCTTGGAGTTTGGCTTAGAAAGGGGAGAGACTGGGATATATGGAGATGCACTGGGGATTATTAAAATGATCCAGGAAAGAGATGGTGAGGCCTGATCCCCTCAGCAATGGTGTCTGTGTGAAGGGGCATCACTGCAAGATGATGGAGGTGAGATGGGCAAGACTGAGCAGCTGGTTGGATGGAGGAGAAAGTAGAGGATGCCTCCAAGGCTGTAAACCTGGGTGGCTACAGGTTAGAGCCTCCTTCAGCAGAAGGGGAAGGAGCAGAGGTGGGTTAAGGAGAGATAATGTGTTCTGTTTGGGATGTGATTCGAGACGTGTGGGTTACTCAGGATGTGGGAGCAGGCAGTTGACAGCAGTGCGTGATTAAATTGAAAGGAGATTGGCTATGTAGCATTGGGAAATACTTCCCTGGAGATGCTAGAACCCCTGGGAGCTGCTGAGATTTTCAAGGATGAGTATAGAGAGAAAAGAAGCCCAAGACAGCCCTGGGGAACAGCACACTGAAGGGGGCCTAAGATCAGTGATATTCAAGCCCAGAAACTGAAGAGTGGTCAGTAGAGAAGAATTAGGAGAGAGTAATGTCATAGGACCCAAGCAAAGAGAGGGTCCAGGAAGACAGCATCGGTGACTGAGAAAGAATCATTTAATTTTAGCTTCCAGGAGCGGTTTCAGTGAAGTGATGGTATCAGAAGCCAGCCAGCAAAGGGTTGAGATGAGTACTGGAAAGGTGCTAGAGGCCATTAGTAGATTATAGGATTAAACCATTCTCTCTAGGAGTTTGACTATGAAAAGGAGGAATCTCTAAGTATTTGTTAAGCACTTAAGTGCTAAGCACTGTTTAAATGCTTGGAGATCCCTAGTGTGAAGAGGTGGCAAGGTCAAGTCCACAGGGCCCTATCCTGGGCTACTAAGATGAGAATGGACCTGAAGGTGTTCATCGGCACCGGAGGAAAGAGCCAACAAACAGATTGAAGGTGAGAGAGAGGGACTGATCAATGGGGCGAGCCCTAGAGGAGTTGGGAAAGGATGATGTCGGAGGAACAAAGAGAAGGGTGACCTTGGCAAGAGAAAGGGCCGTTTCCTCCGAGGTGGGAGTAAGGATGGAGCCTATTAGTAAGGTAGGAGGTGAGTGCATCTGCTGAGAGGAAGACAGGAGCTTGGGAAGGAAAAAGAGAATGTGAAACAGCTACTCAGGGAAGTGAGATGGCAACTTAGAGTCAAGTGACTAGTTTGCTGTGTAGCAGTGAAGGTCCAGTTGAGATTAGATAAGGGAATTGTTAGTGGACCTGGGCAGCTAGGTGGTGTGGGGAGGATGATCAGAGAAGGTAGATGGTGGGACAAGAGAGTCAAGTGTGGAACACATTGTAGTTGAAATGGTCCACCCTAGGGACAAGGCTTCGAAGAGCGGAGCGTGGATGAGCCCTGAGCTGAGCCGTGGGAATGCAGAGAGGCAGTCACTATGCTTGAGGGGCTGAGATGGAAAGGCCCCATGGGCCTTAGCATGCAGAACATATCCGGGTCATTTCCACTGTCAGCCTATGATATTGATAGAAAAATTATGCCTGAGCAGGAGTAGAAATGATCTGGAATTTCAGAGTTCAAAATATTGGATAGAGATGGCACATTTATGGGTGCTGTTGACTTCTGTGCGTGTGGATGGGGTTGGAGGTCTTGGGAGTTTAAAGTGGTTAATGAATAGACTATCTGAGGTGGGTTGAGGACCCCAAGAGGGCAGAAGTCGGGTTGTAAAGAGAGACTGTGAATTAGGCGCTGACCCGGAGAAAGAGGAGAGGTGTCTTGAAGAACAGAGGTCACAACAGCAAGGACCATGGACCAGATGGCATCGACAATGGAGTGACCCTCAAAGGAAGTAACTTTTTAAGGATGGTAGAGTGCGCTTCATTTATTGGGTTCGTGAGGAGGAACCAGACCTAGAAAGAAGTGGCAGTGTCTTCCAGAGAGCCAAGTTTTTTCCCTGAGCGCAATGATGAAAAGAGTATGAGAAGAAGCAGTGGAAGACAAGGGAAGTGTATTCAGGATTAGGGGGTGGGTAGAGTTCTTGGGAAACATCTGAGGGTTTTAGGGAATGACCGCTTGAGCATGAGTCAACAGGATGTGATAGCAGCCAAAATTCAGATCAGTTCAAAAGACCATTGACTGTTTCCTGTGTGCCAAGCACTATTTTAGGTACTGATCATAGAAATACTAAAGTGAGATCAGGAGACACCATACTTCGTAAGTATTTGTAAAATAAAATGGTGTGAGACCTGGAATTTCATTGGTGGGGAAACTCCCTCTGCCTCAGCACGCCCACCCCTTCTCTACACCTGTCTTAGGGCTTCCTAGAGCACGGAGGGTTTAAATGCCCTGGCCAGGGTCCCTGGATGTCCCTAGAAGCTGAGATCAAAGACCTGACTTTGTGTCTAATGTTCCTCGTTACACAGGCTGCATATAGCCAGGTGGGCCTAGCTTGGGGTTGAGAGCAAGGCCTGGCACGCTGTTTGAAGAGTGTAGCCAAACAGCAGGCCCAGAACAGAAGGGGTTTCTCCTACTTTTTGACTGGGTCCCACAGTGTTTAGTATAGGAGAAATGTTTAGCTTGGGTATGCCTCAGAGAGGCAGCAGGGCACAGCTGGCCCTGGAAAACCTGGGCCTAAGTCCTTCATGCTTGAATCTTTTCTCCGTGTCTCCCATAGGTAAATCCGAAATAAATGAGGAAATAGATTTGAGCTTTTGAGCATATTGATTTATGAAGCAATATGTGCCAATTGCATAACAAATTGGGACCAGGCCTCATCAGCTTGGCACAGGACCCCAAATGCAGGGAGAGACAGATTTTTTTTTTTGCATTAAAAGAAAGCAATGAGCAGGATAAAAACCAGGATACAAGATAAGGTCATCTGATTTCTAATTGGAGAAAAGATTAGGGGTTTCCAGGTTGGGAGGGGGAGAGTGAACAGGTGCAATTCCCTGAAGTCAGAAGAAGAAGTTTCCCACTCCCCCCAAGTGTCTGTAAATAGTCGAAGGAACGTTGAAACAATGACCGATTAACCAGTGCGAGGCCAGTTTTGAGAGAAGACATATCAGTTGCACGAGTTGTACAGTTGTGAGAAAATCCCTTGCATCAGTCTTCGGATCTGACCAGTTTCTGTTTGGGATAATCTAGGGCCTGAGTTAAGGGTCTCTAAATAGCAGAGGTGGTCCAACTTTCCAGCCACGGGCAGGTTCAAACAATGCAATAAAGTTTTCTCCCAATTCCCACAGTTGAATAAAGTTTTCTCATGAGGCAGAAATTGGACAAGACCCACAATTGAATAGGAAGGGAACTGAGCCAGAGCCAGAATTGAGTCAGAAAATGAAGTTGGTGTGGGTCACTTAATTTCCACAATTCTCTCATCCAGCTTTCCCAAGGAGGGCTTGTCCAGCCTCTGCTTGAGCTCATTGCTCGTTTCTCTTTCAGGGCAGTTGTGGAAGTCCTTTTAAAATAGTGAGTCCTCATCTACCTCGTACAAAGCCTGGAGTCAGGAAGACCTGAGTTCAGGTCCAGTGTCAGACACTAGCTATGTGACCCCAGACAAGTCCCTTACCTTCTGTCTGCCTCAGTCTCCTCATTTGTAAAATGGGGATAATAATCACCTACCTCTGAGGGTGGTTGTGAGGATCAAATGAGATATTTATACAGTGCTTAGCTTAGTGCCCGGCACACAGTAGGCCCTATACAAATGTTATATATTATTATGTTTCCTTATGGGTTCTCTAGGATAGGGTGTTCTCACATTTCAAGCTAAGTGTTTTTAACTATCACTTCCTCTGAGTCCTGTGCTTCTCTGAATTTCCCATACCAGTTTGGTTTTGTGGTGCAGTGATTTTTCATCACATTCAAGTGCGAAATTGTTCACAAAAGCCACATGTAGATGTCAGTCAAAAACCATTTATTTATTGTCCACCATGTGCCAGGCACAGTGCCAAGTACTGAGGGTACGAAGAAAGGCAAAAGACAGTGCCCAGTCTCAAGGAGGTCACAGCCTAATGGGAGCTCTGTACAGGATGACTGTAATCATTAACAGGGAAGGCACTAGAATTGGGGAGATCTGCAAAGGCTTCCTGTAGAAGGCAGGATTTTAGCTGGGCCTGGAAGGAAACCAGGAGGCAGAGACGAGGAGGGGTGGTATAGCAAGCATGGGGAATGGCCAGTGGAGATGCCCTGGGTCAGGATACTGGGTTCAGGGAACAAGAGGCCAGTGTCACCGGATCCAGGGTACGTGGGGGACTGGAAAGGGCTTTTTTGTGGGGGGGGGGGGAGGTAGGTTATGAAGGGTCTTGAAGGCCAAACAGGATTTTACATTTGATCCTGGAGGTCATAGGGACCCACAGGGAGTTTATTGAATTGAGGGAGGAGGGGACTGGGGGGGGCACCATGGCAGTCAGAATGACATAGTCCGATGAACTTTAGGGAGAGGAGCCGTTGCTGTGGTCATTTGCTTGGCTAACAAGAAGGGTAAGCATCCTCTTTGTTTCCTGCCCTCTTGTCTTCTTGACATTGAGCTCCTTAGCATATATTCCCAGTACTGGGCATGGAGTTTATGAGTTTTTCTCATGTAATCCCAAATTATTTTCCAGAAAGGTTGAAGCAGTACCCCACTCCCCCAACAGTGCTTTTAGTATGCCTGCCTTACTCTATCTTTCCCTGTAGCTACTGCTTGCTAGTATAAGTTCTAACCTCCAGAGCCCTCACCTCCAAGAATACCATTCACATTTGGATATTTAAGATAAATAATCTCATGATCTCCACCCCCAACCCAATTTTCTCTTCAGGCTGACCATCCCCAGTCCTGCCTCTGTCATGATGTCCAGTCCCGTTTCTGTTCTGGTTACCCTCCGCTGGCCAATGGCACGGCGTGTGCAGATGGCATTCACTGTCCTCTGCAAATGGGGCAAGAATGGGTAGAGCCCTTAGAGGATTCCCTTCTGACAAACTATGTATATGCCTCTTCTTTGAAAAGATGCTGAAATGGCTTGGCAGGGAAGGGCAGAAGACAACAGTCTCCCAACAGGTGAAAAGCTTTTTGCCCAGCAACTAGAATAGGGGTTCTTAATCTTGGGTGGCAAAAAAAAAATCTTTGCTTGCTGAAATTTGGGATTTTCTTCAATCATGAATTAAAAAAAAAAAACTTTCTGAGGAGCTTATAGGTTTCACTAGATTTCCAAAGGGTACATGTTTTGAAAAAGATGAAGATCGCCCCAGCACGGGATGGTGGCGTTTTAGAGGTGAAGGTACCTTCTGGTGACACGGTTGAGATGTGACAAGAAGAAAGAGGCGGTTGTAGGATTGGTCAGAGGGAGGGGGGAATGCTGCTCACGCTTCTGGGAGAGAACCATCTTTTCCCCTGGATTGGTCCCCTCGGGGCAGAGAGGAGAGGTGAGAGGGGAATGTAGGGATTGGAGCTGGGTTAGAAGAAAGGTTGGCTGACTGTCGGCCACTCTCTGAAGATTGCTGATGAAATACCGGTTTGACGCCTGACTTTCTGAAAATTTGCCGCCCTGAAGATTTCCAGAAAACAGCCCCAAACATCCTCATGTGTTGGGGGTGTAACTTCTCTCAAGTTGGCACAGGACAGTCAGTCTGGTAGAGTTTGGAGTCCAAAGCTCTAGATTTGAATCCTGCCTAAGGGGTTCTACCACCTGACTTTGAGGGGCTCTTTGGGTGAGTCACTGTCCTCATGTGTAAAATGGGAACAAATCCTTGTGCTGTCCCTCTCCAGAGCTACAAGTAGCAATTTTCTCACTGGGGCAAGAGGTTCAAAAAGGTCCCTTGAGGGCTTCACTGGTTAGCCTCCTTGTTAGGGCCCAGCTCTGGACCGTGGCCTCCTGTAGGGTATTAAGAGACGCCTGGAGGTTAGTACCTGCCCGAAAGGGTACTGGGAGTGCCTCAGTAACAGACGCTGGCTCCACCTACGAAGGAGGAACATGGGAGGAACTCGGGCAAGTTCTACCCACGAGGTGGAGCTAGGGCTATAAGAGCAGGACCCGGGGTGTCTGGGTGGAGCCGGGAGTCGGAGCTGGGGAGAGACCAGAGGCTGGGACGATGGGAGGCAGGAGAGAGAGCAGACGCCGGACCATGGGAGGCAGGAGAGCATGTAACCAATAAATCATGTGCAGCTGCCAACTCGGGTGTTCTGTCTAGTCATTCCCCTCTACCCTCGGAGGGGCCGGAGACGTCCAAAGACCGGGAAGGGTAAGTATCCAAGTGAAGGCTTGGGTGGGATAGCTGGCTAAGTGCACTACGTCAGCTAGGGACCCACCAAGCGATGGCCCGGGTGTAGAGACCCCGGGCAGGTAAGTATTCAAGCGATGGCCCGGGTGTAGAGACCCCGGGCACCTCCTAGTTATTCTTGCTGGTTAGGTACTCAGTGCTTATAATCCCAAGGATGGTGGTCCTAATTGGGGGAAGGGGTCTAACTCCTTTGCTTCTCTCCACCTCTCACAAAGGTATGACCCCAGGCATCAGTTCCTTTTCCTGAGTGGGGTAGGTGAGGCCCAGCCACAAGCTGGAGGTGACAAGGGGCTAGGATCCTCCACCATCCTTCCTTCTCGAAGAGAATGTCTTGAGGGGCATTTTACATCTGTGGGGAAAGGAGCTCTTGGTGCCCTTATGTGACAATTCTTCAGGAAGGCCCGGGGACTGGGGGTAGCCTAAGATGCTCATGGGCAAGAGAGGGTGGGAACTTCTAACAGTGAGGTACCCTGATGCGGTTTGGCTCCCTTCTGGCCCCTCCTTCCTCCTTGACCCTAAAGCCTAAGCCTAGCCTCCCTTCCACCACAAGGGCAGGTCCTAGACCAAGATAGAGCGATGATTGACGGCTAAAGTCTCAGCTGAGCCTGATGCTTAGTGGTGTGCAGAAAACTCCATGCTTGTCTCATCTCCTGTACCCAGGAACCTAGTGGGACCACAGGGAGAAGAGATACCTACCTCCACCTCCCCCAAGCTCTAGTGGAATGGTGGTGGCAAGTATGTTGTTTTCACTAGGTGCTTATTAGTGTTGGCACACGGACAGTGACTACTGGAAAGGTCCTGCGTCTTCCATGAATGGATTTGTAGCTGTTTCCTCCATTGACTTTTGGCCTGGGCCCTCTAAATTCTGACTCCTGGGGGAAAGCTCTGGTTGCTTTACTCTAATTATAGCCCCGATAAATTCACAGGTTTATTGGAAGGTGGTTTGCCAACCGTTAAGTACCATAGAAACCTGAGCCACTGGAATGGGGTGGGGGCAGGGCCTTAGAACTGCTTCTCCCTTTATGAGGAGATCCTATCCATGTGCATTCCATAACTCCCCTGGGAGAAGGGGCTGGCAGATCCGAGTTCTGGGGGGCTGCTCTCACCATGCTTGGGTCCCTGTGCCCTAGGATCAGGCTGGGGTTTGTCCTTCTCACCCTCGTCCTGGTAGCTGCTCGTCCTCGGTCTCAGAGGTAACTCTGGGGCAGGGTGGGCCGTACCACGGTGCAACAGCCAACTTGGGTGTTGTCCGACAGGACTCGAGGAGACTCCTGAAACCTGTCCAAGTCAGCCTCTCCTCCTCGGGGTAGGGGTCTTACGCCCTTCTGCCGAGTTTCTTGATGCCAACAAGCAATGCTGGTCAGGGTTGACCTCTTATTCCCAACTTAAAGGGCAGGGTGGGGGGGGGGGGGTCTCCGTTTCCCTGGGGGATTTGTCTTTTCTCCATCCTGGGTCCTTCCCTCATCCCTCACTCATCTCACAGGTATCAGCCCTCCCCCATTCCTGAAGAGTTAGACACCATGGAGCTCCCCAATGGCCTGGTGGATGGTAGGATCTCATGCCTCTTCTCTTGTCAGACCTTGGGATGGGTTTTCCAGGGTGAAGTAGAAGTACCCTGGAGGGAGGATACCTGACTGCAGCCTCCTCTTTAGGAGGCATCAGGGCATAGTGAATGAGAAAGAAGTCTGGGGTCAGAGGCCCTGGGTTTGAATTCTGGCTTGGCTATTTATGACCTGTGGGACCTTGGACCAAGTTACTGCCTTCTCTGGGCCTCATCTTGGGGACTTCTATGGGTCTTTCTTTCTAGTGTTAAACCCTGTAATTCCACCTGAATTCCAACCAGTTCTCCCCAGCTCCCCCTACCTCCTCCTCTCTCTCCAGATTATGGGATCCTTCCTAAGCACCCAGGACATCGAATGGTCCGCTCCTCCCTCTCGAGAGCCCAGAAGCGCAAGCGGGATGGGCCAGATTTGTCTGAGTACTACTATGATGCCCACCAGTAATGAGAAGGCCCTATAAAATTATTGTCTAGACTGGCCTGGGGCTTGAGCTTCCTGGGTTGGGGTGTCCACACACCCATCCACACAAGCACACACACAGACATACACAACCCCGCCGCGAGACACCAAGCAGTCCCTACAGGAAATGGCACTTTAATAGTGGCTGCCGAGATGGGCCAAGATGCAACTGTGGGAAGGCCCTGAACGGGCCCGGAGGAGACAGTTTTGTCCACTTCTCCCTGCCCAGGCCAAGGGGGCGGGCCCAAGCTGCCATCCTCCTGCCAACACCAGAGGCCCTGGGCTACCAACGCCACCCCAGAGCCTTGGGTGCCCTGACCCTGTCGAGGGACCTGCCTGCCAGGGAGTAGGAGAAAATTCCCCTTGTGTCATGGAGGCTACAGGTGTGTGCAGAGAGAGCCCTGGCAGGTCTTGGGCAAGCGGCTCACATGGTCTGCACCTGCTGCTACTTCTTCATTGAAAAAGTCCTCAATGGGCCAGCCCAGCAAGGCCCTGAGCAAAGGGCAGGGGTACAGAGGTCAGTGGGCACAGGTGGTATTGGCTGAGTAAAGGCAGGAACCGTTAGCCAAGGCCCAGGTAGGGGAAGCAAGGCTGGGGGGCATGGAGGACAGAGGTGACCTAGCCCATTGGCTCTGAGCCCATCCCTCTCCCTGTCCCTCCCACCTTCTGAAGCAGCATCTCCTGTTCATACATAGAATCATCTAATCCTGTATTTTACAATAAACTGCATTTGCCTCTCCCCTAACCCCTCAGTCCACCCTCCCCCATAGTCCCCCACCCTCAGCTAGTCCTCCCCCCTCCCCAATCCTGCTGCAGAGGGCTTCCTGCAGAGGAGAGATGGCATTGACAGGTGCCCCTGGTCTGTGCAGGCACCTCCTCCAGTCTGGGGTGGGCAGCCCAGGGCACGTTCAGGGGAAGGGGCGGGGGTGGGGGGGCAGCGCTGCTACTCCAGGTAGATGTCCTCTGTGGGGCACGTGTACTCCACAAACTGCTTGTAGAACTGTTGGAACGCTCTCCTGGGGGCAAAGGGACAAGCAGAGGCTTAGACCTTGGTCAGGGGAGCCGTCCCGGGGAGGGGGCTTGGGCCGGAGGTCATGGTATTGAAAACCAAGGAGGCAGTGAGGAAATATGGCAGAGGGAAGGCTCACCCGACAGACTCGGCCAGAGCCTTGGTGGATTCCTCAGACACAAAGACATGGCAGGCAAACCGGTGGTCGGCGGGGTGTTTGGTGATGAACCCAAAGTACCTGTGAGGGTGCAGAGGGCAGTGAGTGCAGCTGGAGCTGCGCCCTCCCTCATCTGCCCCCAGGCCTTTCCTGGCCCCACTCACTTGTTGTTCTTTGGGTGGTATCCACAGAAAGAGATGTTCTTCAGTTGGAAAAAGTGACTACATTTATTCCCCTGCAAGGAAAAGGAGGAGTCAGGGATGGCGCTTACACAGAGCTCCAGCTTGGAAGGACAGAGAAGTTTGATGGGAAAATGGGGTGGGGGCTCCCAGTGGGTGTGGAGGGCTGGGCGCACCCCCACTGGGCATCCCCAAGGGCACTGTTATCTCATTGAATAGGGCATCAGGTCCCCACTCCCTTCTCTACTCCCGGGGGGACCTGAAGACCTCCCCATCCCTCCCCTCTCTGAGGCTCAGGTCATGGGGTTTAGATCAAGGAGAGACTAGAGGTGAGGAAAACCACTGAGACAGGCACTTGCCCAAGGACACTCTGGCAGAAGGGGCAGAGCTGAGGTTCAAGCCTAGGTCCCATTAGGCCAGGCTCAACCCTACCGCCCTCCCTTTTCCTATGTCCAGTCCACCTCCTGGCACCACAGAAGAGTCCAGTGAGGTAACGCTTCACACCTACCCCCCCCCCAACAGCCCAGTGATGTGAGGTGGAGCACAGCTAAACCATCCATTTTATAGATGAAGGGACTGAGGCCCAGGCTAGGAACAGAAATCAGGGAGGTCTCTGTGGGCCAAAGGGGAAGCAGGGTCTTGGAGACCTCTGGAGAAATGCCACCCCTCAATCCAAGGAGGTAATGCTGGAAATAAGTGCTAGCTCTGAGAAGCTGCCCTCCACCTGGCAAGGCTGCCTGTGTCCTAGGAAGGGGGTGTGTGTGTGGGGTGGGGTGGAGCCAGGATTATTAACTGGAGGATAAGGCATGCTAGACCCCGTCACAGACAAGTGATTGGAGGCAAATGCCGTAGGACGGACCCCTGAGGACCACTTTGGAAGGTCTTGGAGAAGGGGGACAGTCGAGGTGGGGCACCAGTCACCTTGTGCTCCTGGGAGTCCTCTGCCTTGACCACAATCTTTACTCCCCGAATGTTGATCTCAAGGACACAGCTGGAGGGCGGGTTAAAGTGCACCGTGAGCCGGCGGGTGGTGGCAATCTGCAGGGCGGGTGCCAGGTGAGAGGGACCAGAGGCAGGCCCCTCTCCTCCTCACCCTTCCACTCGGGGCCCCAGGCTCTGCTCCCCTGGCCCCTGAGGCCTCTGGAAAACCGCTTCCCTTTCCCACTCATGTAGGGGCAAGGGGGTGGAGGGAGTGGGCATCTAGGTGACTGCCCCCAGGGGCACAGAGAGCAGCCACTGTGGAGACGGGAGGACTAAGCCAGGAAGAGGCCGCTCTCCCTGCCAGGCTGGGGTGAGACTAGGCAACAGAGGCCGAGTGAGAAGCGGGCACTGGGGCGCAGCCTGGCACCTTTTGCATAGCAGCGCAGAGAACGTCGTTGCCCTTGTGGTATGGAACCTGGACAGAACCCAGGAACTTCACTCGGAACTGATCCACCCAGTCACTGTTTTTGGCCAGGGCTGGAAGGCAAGAGCAGAGTCAGGGGAAGGTGGACCATTTGGGGCTGGCACAGCCGAGTGGGCAAGGCCGAACTGATAATGGCGCGGATGGTCATCAGAGCCAGCAGGAGAAAGGAGAGCTCAGATTTCATCTAGGCCTGTTCTCTCCTTCTAGCTGGGGGCAACTGAGGCACAGGTGGGCAAGGTGTCCTGCTCAAGGTTACACAGCAAACTGGCGACAACTCGGCCAGGTCTCTTGTCAAACTGATCCCCAATCAATCAGTACTAAACCCAACCACGCTCTCCGGAACCGTTCGGCTCTCATTCTAACGAGGGCAGTAACCAGCGCGGACCAAGCGCGGCCAGGAAGCGGGCGCTACCTGTCGTGGTCTCGGGCTCCTTGGTGACCTCTATGGCGTAGTAGGCGGGGAAGGCTCCTCGAGCGCCCGTGCGCATGTTGTAGGCTTCGTACCAGTAATCGTCGGCCTGCATCTCCACCAAGAGTGGGTCGTCCACCTCGAGCTCCAGCTCGTCCTCATGCCGGGGCACAAACCTGCCCCAGGCCAGGAAGTCACAAAGGCCCTGCTCGACGGTCCCCGCGCCCGGCTCTCCCTCTCCCCCCGTCCCCCCGGCTCTGCGCTGCCCCGCCCGCCCGCCCGCGACCAAACCGGGCCGACCCAGGCCCAGCCCAGCTGCCGCCTCTCCCCGGCTCTCACCTGAACACGGCCCGGTGCGTCTGCTCCTGCTCCTCCCCGTTGATGGTGCAGGAGAACAATCCGAAAGATTCGGCACCTGGAAGGAGGTGCGGGTCCCGGGTCACCCCGGGGTCCCGGACCCTGGGTGGCAGAGCTGCCCAGCTCCAACCCCCTCAATGCCCACCCCCGCCCTCCCCCCACTCACTGGAGGAGCGAGAGCGGCCGCTCATGAAGACGTTGAGGAATTTCTTGGAGAAGTGGACGTCGGGCCCGTCGGGCGAGGAGTCCTCGGAGAGGCAGACGGCCGGCCGCGGCCGCGCCGCCTCCTCGTACTCCTCCCCGATGGCCGACTCGTAGGGGGACGAGACGCAGTTGTCGTAGACGGTGGCCGAGTCGCTCTCGTCGCTGTAGCCGGAGTAGCACTGCCGAAGGCTCACCAGCTCCAGCTGGGCGTGCTCGTCCACCACCAGGGTGTATTTGACCGAGTCATAGGACAGGGCGCTGGTGTCCGAGCTCAGCGAGGCCCGGGGCAGCTCCGCCCGGTTGTCCTGCCAGCCCCCGCCGGGGGGTTCGCCCCTCTCGGGGGACGACAGGCAGTCAAAACCCTCATCCTCCTCGCTGATCGAGGGGTGGGGCCGGCCGGGGGCTGGTGGATAGCCAGTGGGGTCGGGGTCAGAGCTGACTGACATGCGGCTCTCGGCTGGGGGGAGGAAGGCCGGGGTAGCCTCCGGGGGGTCGGGGGGCCGCTGCACTGGGGTCAAGTAGATCTCTTCGGTGGCTTCTAGCCGCACGTCCGTCTGGTAGTGAATACGGTCACGGTGCGGGTGAGCCCGGCCTCCAGAGGGAGCTGGGGCCTTGTCGGAGCCCCGAGAGGCTGGGGGGCCGCCACCGGGAGGGGCCATCTGGGTGGAAGTGCTTCTGCGGCAGGGACTGTCTGTGGAGGTACCCCGGTCCTTGGTGGGTGCGGGACTGTTCTGGGGCGGCAGCTCATCACTCAAGCAGACGTGCTCATGAGGAGGGGTCTGCTCGCCTGGAAAGGAATGTGCGTGGGTAGGACAATTCTCCACGTGGGGGGATGTGAGGAGTCCTGACAGCTACCAGATGCCACCTCAGGGTGTGGTCCGTTACCCAGCCCTCCCCAGGGACTTCCGTGATGCCACCCATGAGGCATCTCGACCCCTCGGGATCAGAGCCAGTGTTCCTTGGCACGGTGCCCACAGTGAGCTCCGGGACTAGGCAGCTGACATAGGCAATAGGCTGACCTCAGCCCCCAGCTGCTGGCCCGGCCCAGGGCGGGGGATGGGAGCATTCTCTCGGGGGCCCTGAGCCCCAGGCCCAGAGAATAAGTCAGAGGAGGGGCGTGGCCCAAAGCAGGGGGAGGCTGCGGGCCCTGGCTCACCTGTCTTCAGTGGAGAAGAGGATCGGGACACTCGCTCCTGCCAGCTGTGCTTTTTGCCCAGGGAGTTGTTGTTCAGGGTGTCCTGCTTGTGGGAACAAAGCGCCCTTGT